GCTCCAGACCACCAGGCATGTGCAAACGATCACCACTGATTTTCCAGCTCCCGGCCTGGCCTTTCTGTATCAGGTCTCTGCTTCCCTTCCCTTCCCTGGCTACTTAAATCTTTTTATTTGCATGTTTCCTGTCCGTCTGAATATTTAACGTCCACTGTAGACATAACATGAGAACGCAAACAAATCTCTCTCACAGTCATGAATGAAATCACTCGGCTGAGGCTGGATTTTCACTTTAAATATTTAATGGATCACATATTTCTGCTTCTTATTTTATTATTTATTTACAAAAATACATTATTGCTCATGCTAAAATATAATTTACACTGTATATTATTCACTTCACCCCTGCATCCTTATCATCTCTAATAATTCATCACCTCTGATTTATTAAAGTCATCTCTCAGTCCCAGAATGGCTGGACAGCTTTGTCATGAGATTAAATACTGCAGATGTCAAACCAGCACCAATGACAATTTAAAAAATGAAGGCCAACCAAAACGTTGACCTTCAGAAAGCATGAAGGCACAAAGAACAACCTCAAAATAAAGAACTGCTTCAGAAGTACACACTTTTCCATCCAAACATTCTGACAAACACACAACTTTCAAACATCTCTCACAAAAAATCATAAAAAGTTCCTCATTTACAACTGTGCTGACCTCATTTTAACATCTATTCAGACTTTTTTGTTCAGCAAAAGGTTAACAGGTTTTATTTTCTGTTGCTTGTTATTGCTTTTTAGTCGACATCCAATCCGACAGCAGATTAACATGATCTGCTTGAAATAATGGTGCACTGTAAAACCCGGAAGACTTGTTTAAAGGTGACCTATTGTGCTCATTTCACTTCTACTTGTTGATTTGTGTCCATGGTATGGGGTGTAAGCAACCAGCCTATAATAGTAAAAATCAACCCACTTATTTTTTAATACTAGAAATCAGAAGGAGTGTCTGAAAATACATTCCAGACTGTTTATGCAAACCTTGTGTTTTTGATGTAACATATTTTGCCAGTTAACACTGAATAAGATATGTAATAGATTGTCAGGATGTGAGAGTTAGCTTTCTGTGCATTTGGAAATAGTATATCTGGACAAACGCATGTAAATAAATGTTCGTAACGAGGAAGACATGTAGCGTCACATACAGTTGAAGTCAGAATTATTAGCCCCCTGAATTATTAACACCCCCCCCCACATAATAGTTTTAATAGCTCATTTCTAATAACTTATTTATTTTACCTTTACAGTAAATAATATTTTACCAAATATTTTTCAAGACACCTCTATACAGCTTAAAGTGACATTGAAAGACTTAACTAGGTTAATTAGGCAAGTTAGAGTAATTAGGCAAGTTTTTGTATAACGATGGTTTGTTTTGTTCACAATCCAAAAAAACACACATCAGTCTTTGTTGTTTACCATCAGTATATTTCCTGTTACTGTGTTTTTGCCTTAGTCTAAATTTGTTTTGTTTGTACTTTTGGATCAGTGGCTTGTTTATGACCTTATGACGGTTTTGACTATGATTTTGGATTGCCCTGTTTGATTCTTAATTTTTTCTATTTTTGTCCAGGGTTATTTGCACAAATATTTTCTTCAATAAATGATTATTAAGCTGCACTTGCTCCTACCTCTTGTTTTCGCCATGCCGAGACCCAAAAGTGACAATTTCTTTATTTATTTAATAATATTTATAAATAACTAGAAAACATGGCTTTATGATAACTAATCAGCATAATTCTTTTACCTTTTATAATGAACTTATTACAGTAAATACAAAAACAATCTCCTTTATAACAGAATGGAGTTGCATTGTCCCCTATTTGTTGAGTGACATTGTTTACATTTTAAAAAATCAGATTTATTTACAACATTTGATTGAAACATTTAATTTCAGTTAGCTTTTTTGTAGCTCAGCAATAAAACAAATAAAAAAGGTTACTTCAAACTAGAAATGACAATCTCTTTTAAAGGCATTCACTCCGACCACCTCCATCCTTCTCTCTCTTCTCAGATTAGATAGTGTGCCAAATCAAAGGTTACAATGGGCCAAGTTTGACTCATGGGCCCAACTTTGAACCTCTCTGATCTATGGAGTATTTTATTTTAACAAACAGTATAGGGCAAAATTATGTAATTATTCCTGTGCAATGTTTAATTTTTTTTCAAATATTTCTCAAGTGACATTTAATCGATTTACCAACTGTTCACATTATTTCTATAATATTTTTCTTCTCAAGAAAATTGTATTTGTTTTATATTGAACAAAGATAAAATAAATCTGTTATTAGAAATTAGTTATTAATACCAATATGTTTGGAAATATGTTCTCTCCGTTAAACAGAAATTGATGAATAAATATAAAAGAATAAAAATTTAACAGGAGGGCTAATAATTCTGACCTTGTAAAAAAGGCATAATAGGTGTCATTCATTTCAATGTTTTAATTGATCGGAATGACCTCAATACACCCAAATTGTTTGCATGTCCTATTAAAGAAGTAGTTAATATCATATTTTGTATACAGGTAATATCCTGAAGACATAGAACATCTGATATAGCATCTGCGATTACCAACCGTTCTGACTCATCCCCTAATTTGTGTAAGCAAACATTGTCTATTTGTTTTGATATCTGTATTATTTGTCTACTGTGCATATTATTTGAATATTATGGATGTGACTGAAAGCTGCAGTCAGTGTAATGACAATGCCACAAAGCCTGTCACAGATTTTGTATTTTGCGATCTGCATGAGAATTAAGTGAGGTTGAGCATGTGTGTGTTTCTATAGAGATGTGACCTTTAAGGTTGGACTCGTATGACACATGACCAGACATCCACCTGTCTGCTGAACTCAACTCTTCATGGCAGAAACTAGCAGGTGACTCTCATAAAACACACATGCGTCTACACTCCCTACTGTGACAGGAAAAGACGCAGAGGAAAAAAACAAGAGCTGTCTGGTGCATGTAGCTCCAAAACATTTGTAAACTCAAACGGAAGATATTATTATTAAATATAACAGAAGATTTCAAACTTTTTGATATAATGGACTACCAAGTGATCATTCCCCTTCTAGTAATCCCACTCTTAAAATATACATTGCAGGTATACACTCACCGGCCACTTTATTAAGTACACCTGTTCAACTGCTCATTAACGATAATTTATAATTGGCCAATCAAATGGCAGCAACTCAATGCATTTAGGCATGTAGACATGGTCAAGACGATCTGCTGCAGTTCAAACTGAGCATCAGAATGGGGAAGAAAGGTGATTTAAGTGACTTTGAATGAGGCATGGTTGTTGGTGCCAGACGGGCTGGTCTGAGTATTTCAGGAACTGCTGATCTACTTGGATTTTCACGCATAACCATCTCTAGGGTTTACAGAAAATGGTCAGAAAAAGAGAAAGTATCCAGTGAGCGGCAGTTCTGTGGGCCTTGTTTATGCCAGAGGTCAGAGAATGGCCAGACTGGTTTAAGCTGATAGAAAGGCAACAGTAACTCCAATAACTACTTGTTACAACCGAGGTATGCAGAAGAGCATCTCTGAATGCACAACACGTCCAAGCTTGAGGCGGAGGGGCTACAGCAGCAGAAGACCACACCAGATGCCACTCCTGTCAGCTAAGAACAGGAAACTGAGGCTACAATTGACACAGATTCACCAAAATTGGACAATAGAAGATTAAATAAAGTTGATCTGATGAGTCTCAATTTCTGCTGCGACATTTGGATAGTAGGGTCAGAATTTGGCATCAACAACATGAAAGCATGGATACATCTTTCCTTGTATTTATGTTTCATTCTGGTGGTGGTGGTGTAATGGTGTGGGGATATTTTCTTGGCACACGTTGGGCCCATTAGCACCAATTTGAGCACCGTGTCAACGCCACTGCCTACCTGAGTATTGTTGCTTACCGTGTCCATCCCTTTATGACCACAGTGTACCCATCTTCTGATGCTACTTCCAGCATAATAACGCGCCATGTCATAAAGCGCAAATCATCTCGGACTGGTTTCTTAAACATGACAATGAGTTCACTGTACTCAAAGGGCCTCCACAGTCACCAGATCTCAATCCAATAGCGCACCTTTGGGATATGGTGGAATGGGAGATTCATATCATGGATGTGCAGCCGACAAATCTGCAGCAACTGCGTAATGCTGTCATGTCAATATGGACCAAAATCTCTGAGGAATATTTTCAGTTCCATCTTGAATCTATACCAGAAGGATTAAAGCAGTTCTGAAGGCAAAAGGGGGTCCAACCCGGTGCTAGTAAGGTGTATCTAATAAAGCGGCCGGTTAGTGTTTATGTATTTATGTATAATGATACTGATAAATCTTAAGCTCATATATATTGTTTCAAATATATAGCTCATTATTAGCCCATGCTAGTTTTTTATATACAGTAGTCAACATTTGAAATGGATCAAAATCTTTCATCAAATTTGTCGTAAAACTATTGAACCACAGCAATTCTTTGTTAGGACAATTTTAAAAACTTTTCCTCTGAAAAAGATGACTTCTGTATTACGTATTATCATAGTATGACAAGTATAGAATATTTATAATGTTAGTACAGATATTTATTAGTGGTAATTTCATTCATTCATTTTTGTCCCGCCTTTATTAATCAGGGGTCACCACAGCGGAATGCACCACCAACTTATCCACCATAGGTTTTACGCAGTGGATGCCCTTCCAGCTGCAACCCATCACTGGGAAACTAGTGGTAACTTTTTTTTTTACAATTAATTTTTCTTTTTTGTTATATTTGTCATATTTTTTATATTATATTTTTGTAAACTCTCCTGCACTTTCAGTTCAAAAACCCCTGTTATACACAGCTTCTGATATAACATGTATAGATAGTTTTATAAATGTAATCTATGTGGGAAAATATTGATCACAAAGAAATAAGAACAAAAACACTTTGAAACTCTATAAATAGGACTTTGCATAGATTCTCCAAACCAAAGCAAACTGGACAGATTCACCAAAATAATTTAATACTTTACAATACACAAAACAAGAGTCTGAAAACATAAAAAATCTCAATCAATAATCCAAAATAATGTTTGAGTTAATGTTTTCCAAATAATGATTTTCAGTATTTTACCTTCTTCTCCTCTTAAGTTCAAAGGTCGGTCATCTCTTCCTCTAAATGCACAGTTTTTAGTTTTGTCAGTTGTTTTTCCTCTTCTTCCTCCATTTCTCCCTTTCCTCCCTCAGAAACAGCACATAGGAAGTCTCCATTTACGCTGGAGGTCATGTGGTCAGTGTGACCTCTGAACTCTGTGGGCAGGTCCGTTTGGGCCAGTAAGGGCGAGCTGTGCGTGGGGTCAGATGAGTAACCCAGGTGGTAAAGGAATCCTCCAGGAGGCTCCAGTGGCTCCTTCTTGACGGCAGACAATGTGTGAATGTTGCCCAGGCTGTAGAGTGTGCTGCTGGGCTCCAAAGAGGTGAGCTGGAGCCGCTCCTGACACACTGGAGAACTGCAGTCAACAACACCTGACAGATGACAGAGAGATCCGTGAGAAATGATTGAAGATAAGAGAGATGATACATTTCTTACTTCATTCATTCATTTCTTTTCCTTCAGCTTAGTCCCTTTATTCATCAGGCATCATCACAGCAGAATGAACCGCCAACTTATGCAGCATATGTTTTACAGAGCGGATGCTCTTCCAGTTGCAACCCAGTATTGGGAAACATTCATACACACATACACTAAGGCCAATTTAGTTTATTCAATTCCTATAGAGCATATCTTTGGGCTGTGGGGGAAACCCGGAGCACCCAGAGGAAAACCCACACAAACACTGGGAAAACATGCAAACTCCACACAGACATGCCAACTCTCCCAGCCGGGACTCAAACCAGCGACCTTCTTGCTATGAGCACAGTGGTGCAGTGGGCAGCACAGTCGCCTCACAACAGGAAGGTCGCTGGTTCGAGCCCTGGCTGTTTCAGTTGGTGTTTCTGTGTGGAGTTTGCATGTTCTCCCTGGGTTCGCGTGAATTTTCTCCAGGTGCTCCGGTGTCCACCACAGTCCAAAGACATGCGCTATAGGTAAATTAGATATGCTAAATTGGACAGTGTATGTGTGTGAATGAGCTTGTATGTATGTTTCTCAGTGAAGGGATGCAGCTGGAAGGGGATCCGATGCGTAAAACATATGCTTGATAGGTTGCCGGTTCATTCCACTGTGGTGACCCCAGATAAATAAAGGGTCTGAGCCAAAAAGAAAATGAATGAATAAGAATATGGAATCCTAAATATTAAGCAGCACAGCTATTTTTCAGAATTGATAATAACAAGAAATTTTTATAAATAAAATAAAATATAAAAATAAAATAATGGTTACACTTTACAATAAGGTCTCAATAGTTAATATTTTTAAAGTGTTTTATTACATGGAATAATATTGAACATGGAATAATATTGAACAATACTTGTACGGCATTTGTTCAATATTTACTAATGCATTATTAAAATTTCAATTCATGATGTTTAACATTTGTTAATGCAATGTGTGATAATAAAACAAATTTATTTCCATTAACTAATGTTAACAAAGAGGCATTGATGAATTATTGTTCATTGTTTGTTCATGTCAGTAAATACATTAACTAATACAACCTTATTGTAAAGTGTTACCAAAATAATAATAATTAGTTATAATAATGGATTACTGCTTTTTATTTACATGATGAGCATTAGAGAAATTTAGAAAAAAAATCTATCAATAAATATTGTGTCAGATTGGGTGGCGCAGAGTGTAGCTCTGTTGCCTCACAGCAAGAAGGTTGCTGGTTCGAACCTCAGGCATGGGTCAGTTGGCATTTGTGTGTGGAGTTTTCGTGTCCTCTCCGTGTTTGCGTGGGTTTCCACCAGGTGCTCCGGTTTCCCCCACAAGTCCAAAGACATGCGCTATAGGTGAATTGGATAAGCTAAATTCTCTGTAGTGTATGAGTGTGAATGAGAGTGTATACTGTATGTGTTTCTCTAGTGATGGGTTGCAGTTGGAAGGGCATCCTCTGTGTAAAACATGTGCTGGATAAGTTGGTGGTTCATTCCTCTGTGGCAACCCCTGATTATTAAAGGGACTAAGCCGAAAAGAAAATGAATGAATAATTATGTCAGATACAGTGTATTGGGTTTTCAAGACTTTAGTACTATTAATATCCTCACTAAATATGACATAAGGCAAATTTTATTACCCTAACATTATACCTGTAAATATTATCAAAATGAGTTTTTCGTATTGCATATTTAATTATACTATTTTATAATACTAAACTACTATACATTATTCAATTGTTCATTTTCTTTTCTGCTTAGTCCTTTTATTAAACCGGGGTCGCCACAGTGGAATGAACTGCCAACTTATCCAGCATGTTTTACGCAGCAGATGCCCTTCCAGCCGCAACCCATCTCTGGGAAAACAATACTATACAATACTGTATAATTAATAAATAATAATATGAAGAGTTCAGGTGCAAAATCATTTAAATGCTGTCTGGAATTTACTTTTTAAATGAGCATTTTTATGAGGCTCCTGTATGTAGGTTCAGTAATTTCACTTTAATGGCAAAAATAGCTTATTTTTGAGGTCTTTAAAGTAAAATAACTTAACATTAACAAAGAAAGCTGAGAAAAATGCTAATGTTTGATGGATATTTCAGCTGGCACTTAGATGTTTTTGCATCTGAACTCTTATGGAAAACACCCATACACTGTCATTCACACTCATACACTACGGCCAATTTAGCTCACCCAATTCACCTATAATGCATGTCTTTGGACTTGTGGGGGAAACTGGAGCACCCGTAGGAAACCCATGCGAACATGGGGAGAACTTGCAAACTTCACACAGAAATGCCAACTGACCCAGCTGAGGCTTGAACCAGCAACCTTCTCGTTGTAAGGCGACAGCACTACCCACTGCACCACCGCGCTGGCCTATTTTAATTTTATGAAATTTTATTAGATTTCTAGAGCCCTGGCCAAAGCGTCAATCAATCAATCAATCAATCAAAAAAAAAACTAAACATAAATGGCATCACATTTAACATTCCTATGGCCCCAAATCAAACCTTACAGCAGCGGTTCTAATACTTTTTTCACCAAGAACCACCTTAGAAAAAAAATTGTCTCTCCAAGTACCACCATAATGACCAGTATTTAAATACAGAGTAGCGTATTAGGCTTAATAAAGCACCTACAGCTATACACAGTTCAAAAACATGGCAGATTAATTCCTATTGTTATGAATATTTATTATTGTTTTAATATTTATTATTATAAACTAAAACATTAAAAATAAATAAATCATCAACGTGTGCTTTTGAAAGTTAATTAAAAATGGCATTGTTCTTAAAGTAAACAGAAAACTGCTGTGCTTAAATATAAAGTATTGACATATATTAGCCTACTCATCAAAACCTGGAAATGTTCCTTGGACCTCATAAATATCGTCATATTCATATATAAACTCTTTTTGATAAATTTTGAAATATATGGTACATGTTATATATATGACTTATTTGTATATCTTTAAAATCTAAACAGTAACTTGTATTTTAAATTAATGATTTGTATTTACATATTTAAATTAGAAATTAGATCTGCTTACTGGGTGTTAAAGTAGGCTTTCTGTGTCAGAAAAGTGATTAAACTTAGCTGTCAACATTGGGATATAAAAATACGGGATGCGCCCCCAACAACTGTTACAAATATGGGAAGGAAGTTAACTTCAAATGATAGAATACATAACAAACATTAAAAAATTGAAAAAAGAAAAAGGTTTCGTCTAATAAAATCAATTTACTGATCACATCTGTGTTATCGTATGCGTTAAAAGTGTGTTTATTTTTTTTACTTTTAATTATTCAGCGATTCCTCCATGTACTACTAGAAGGAAGCCTGCGTACCACCGCGTACATGTACCACAGTTTGAGAACCACTGACCTACAGTAAACAAGCATATTTTATTTAGACTAGTCTTTAAAAGACGTTTCAAAATGATTTAAAATTACATGATAATCCTGCTCATCACATAACAGGAAGCATAACAGAAGGTAGTTTTATTAATAACTAATAAAATTATTAACTATAAATAAAAGTAGTATAATCACAAATACGTATTACAGAAATAAAAAACAATAATAATCACAAAAGAGGTGTATTTAACAACCTCTAAAATTAAACATTGTATATATTACATATAACTTAATGTAATTATATTAAATTTAATATAAATTTTATTTAAATTTAGAAATATCAATTTATTGTATGCACTTGCAGACAAAAACAAAACAAAACAACCTGTGGCCTTCGCATCCAGTTTAAAGGAACAATGTAACAATCAGTAATAGAGTTTAGGAAAGCTCACTCACCCTGTGTGACTGATGAGGGTGAAGAAGATACTGTGAGTTGCAGGGAGGGAAGTACAACCTTGTTTCCTTCAGTAACCAAACTATAACTATCAATCTGCAAGCCATTAGATGGAGTGATGCTGAATGCTGAACCAATAGACGGTGCTTGGTCCTGCACCGAAACGTCCTTCCTCAAATCTTCTTCTTTCACCTCTACATCCGTCCCATTGACACTGCAATGAAATGAAGAGTAGGCCAGTGCAGGGTCTGCCGTTCCCCCTTTCTCCTGTGCTGCACCGTCCATCTCCACATCTGTAGGTCTGCAAGCCAAAGACTGGAGTCCCAAATTCATGCCACTGAACAAGACGTGTCCCGTGGAGGAGAGAAATGAAGGGGTGCCGTTGTGGAAAACAGAGGCAGGTGAGTGAACTGAGACTCCGTTGAAGATGACGGAGGGTGGAGAGATAGAGGTCCTGCTGTCTGCAACCTGCTGGACGATCACTCCGGCGTCCAGAGAGCCGGAGCAGAGAGGCAGAGCTGTGTTACTCACTGGCCCATCAGCGCAGGTGGACATCGGGCATGGAGAGAGAGACTCCTGACCTTTACTGCTCTCATCCTCCGTACTGTGATTTCCATCCGACTCGCTGAGAGAAAGAGTAAAGGACAGAGAGGTCAGTAGACTTTCTCTCATTATATAAGATGTCGACTTGGTCCATATTCTTAATTACAAGTGCAAGTTATCAGGTAATTTGGTAAACATTAGTATTAGATACCAAAAAGTGAATAAACAAACTAATTTAATTGACAAATAAGACAAATAGTTGTCTTAAATTAAATATTAATAAGACCAAAGAAATGATTGTTGATTTTAGTAGATATCCGCAACAAACGGTGCCAGTGATTATACAGGAGTCAGCAATTGAGATTCTTTTATCGTATAGGTAACTGGGTATATATCTGAATAACAAGCTCGATTTGTCTGAAAATACAACTCGAGTGTATAAGAACGGTTAGAGTCGCATTCATTTCTTAAGACAACTGAGGTCCTTTGGTGTGTGTCAGACACTGTTAAAGACTTTTTATGATTCTGTGGTGTCTGTGATTACCCACTATAGAAGAGATTGCACATGATCGGATGATGGACATATTTGTCAGTATGATGAGCCATGATATTCATCCCCTTTTTGAAAGAGTCCAAGCATGTGCAAGCTCCTTTAGTCCAAAAGTAATTCAACCCCGGTGTTACAGAGAAACATACAGGAAGTCTTCTTTACCTACAGTGATCAGATTGTATAATCAAAGTCAAAGATGAATTATGCTGAATTGTATATTAGATATGGACGAGTGTCAACTCGTTGTTTGAAACTAAGGTGTGCAGTTTGAATGTAATTTTATTATTGTTTTTATATTTATGTAACTTATTTTATATATCTTTAGTATGGAGAGCTCTGCTGTGACGTGAATTTTCCATTTGGGATTATTAAAGTCAAACAAACAAACAAACAAACAAACAAACAAACAAACAAACAAACAAACAAACAAATATACTTTAAAATGTGATGTGACAAAACAGTGGTCATAAAAAGCTGTTGAGATTGAGAGCTTGCTCAATTCAAATAACCTGAAATCATAGGCTTTTCTACACTAGCTTAAGCTGATTCTTTTTGTCATTAAATTTTATTAATCAACACTTCTTAACATTTATACTACTTTATTCATTTTATATGTTTTATTTTGTTTAGCTAAACTGAACAGGATTTGGACCCACAAAATATATACAATTTTAGTCCACTTGACTAACTAGTTTTACTTATTTTCAAACAAAATAAATACATTTAGCTTGAATAAGCTTTTTTACATTTTATAGTCCTTAAAGAGGCAAAATTATACGTTAACCAACAAAAGTGTTGGTCAAAAGTGTGTGAGAGAACTAAACAAAACAGTTTTTTTTTTTTTTTACATTATACATAATTTGACAAGTATTTACCAGTATTTACAAGTATAACATAGCTCTATGCATGCCAGGTTTCAAAATCACCTTATTTAAAATTTAAAAATAATTGTAATAAATCTGGGAAATAAATAAATAAATTCATGATATTTTTTAAATGTCTGCAATTTGCAAACTATGGCATGTCTGGAATTTTTATGTATCTCATATGGTCCAAAATGGACGCTAATGTGTTATGATGGCTAACAAAAAATGAGGAATTCCAGTTTCACGCTCAATTGAACAAAACCAACTAAATCACAATCATCAACAACAACAAAAACAACAACAACAAAAACTAATACAAATTCAACTACACTCTCAGAACAAGTGGTACAATGTTGTACTAAAGAAGGTACAAACCCTTGTCACTGGGGGAGTACCTTTTTATGGGACAGAATTGTACCTTAAAACAAAGAAGCAAATTTGTACCATTGCAGTTTGTACATTTAAGGACATGATTCGTACCACGGGAAACCACAATGTCCCTTTGGTTTTTAAAACCTGCAGATACAATATTGTACCTTCATCAAAGGTACAAATCTGATCCATAAAAGTGTCAAACTCAACAGTGTTAAAAATGCCTACCAAACATTTATTTAAAATGCCTTAAATGTTTAGTTTGTTTTACCAGTTGTTTAGTATTATTGCATTATAGAACTTAATAATGAATGTTAATACATGTTTTATACATTAAATGATTATTGTTTTAATATGGAAATTATTCATACAATCACTTTGGCTTTCCAGTAATGTTTATTATTGTGATATTATTTGTGATAAAGAAGGAGTTGTTTAACACTTATGTACATTTTATGTGAAAACAATTGTGTACCTTCATTTCATCATACCATAAAAGGTGCAGAACAATATCATAAGAGGTATTTTCTGTACAATATACTGTAAGGTACATTTTTACAAAGGTACAAAGCTGTTCCTTAAGGAACATTATTTGTACCACCGTGTACTTTTTTTTGAGTGTGTAGAATGGGCAAGTCCTCAGGTTTCTTTCTACAAATAATTGATTTGTATAGACCCCCTAAAGATGTGGCTGTGAAAATACATTTTAGATAGAGGTCCCTTTCTCGTTTGTTGTGATTGTGATCTAAACTGTCTGAAAGGAATTGTCAAAATTCATTTTAATTCATCAAACAAAATAATCTTAATGACGGTTATTTCCTGTATGGCTTGCTGAAAGATTTTTATTGCATATTTAAATAACTGTTTTGACGATGTTGAAGTAAGCTACTGTATGCAAAACACTCACAGTGACGCCTTAAGAACTATTGGCAGAATACTGACTAATGAACGAAATTTTCCTTCTGCAAAAACAGTGGCCTGTATGAGCGCATGGTGACGCAGCTACAGGAAGATGTAGACGGGAGCGCGCACAGACAAATGGAGAGGTGAGTATCCACTTCACACCGCGGGACCCCCGAGATCAGAGCCTTGATGTGTCAGCGGTAATCCTGTCTACAATACAGACTCTTTTACGCATTCACGCACGCTCGCCATTTGGCGCAATAAGTCCTATGGCGACACTAGCCCGCGATCACAGCATGACTTCACAAATGGTCAGTTTTATGCCCACAGTGTCCTACGCCAAACGGAGGGCCGTCGGCGACGAGAGGTTAAATTTAGCTGATATTTCACAGTCCGATACTGCGCGATTCATCCACTGACGATATTTCACAGCGACTTCAGCTGTTCGGACATAAATTCGTAGTTGAGAGAGAAGGGCGCGATTGGTGAATGACTGGAGCAGCTGTTGACTCCGACAGGACCTCCACAACTGTCCTGTTTCTCTTCACAGTCAGCCGAAAGATTTTGACGTTTAAGTTTTTAGTGTTGGTCATTTGATAGTTCACCAATGAAAATTATGCCATCATTTATACATCAAGCCTCTATCTTCTGTCGAATAGCTACACACAATTATATAGGGGAGTGGTAACTAGACTGCTGGTACCCACTTCCAGCTTCTTGTTTTTACCTAATGTGGAATTCGTGGCACCGCAACTGTCTGAATTGTTCACACATTATTAAAAAATAGACAATAATATAAATATCAATAATAAATTGCTGCAGATGAATCTAATAGAACAGAGGATCCATACTGAATTGGGGCTCCTATAGGTCTATTTAGGCTAGAAACGCCTGGCATTGCCTATAAATATGACGCATTTTCCTCACAACCCCCACTTTTGGCATTGAAGAAAAACCCACTATAACAGAAAAGGGTTTTAGTGATAGCACTGCAGCCGCGGTTAGCACTTAAATAGAACTAAAGGATACATTTATTTAGTGTTTTTCTGTAAATTACGCTTCAAATGCCCCAATTCCCACGAGTCACAAAATTATGATTATTAATGACAAAACATGATCAAAACGCTTCAGACAGCATGAGACATCATGTTTCTGTGAACGGAAAAATGTATTTGTTTGAGGGAGGTCACGTTCACCAGGTGCGCTGAGCTTTGTTCACAAAGAGAAAAACATTAAAGTGAATCCTGTATTACCAGTGCGTATTTATGTGTGTGCGTTAAAGCAGAGTGCTGAAGAGGAGGTTTTCCTATCCCCTCTGGCTAAAAAGAAAAGTAAATAGTTGAGAGTAATTTATGTGGTGAGGCAAACCTTACGCGTCAATGGATCCTGAGTAGCTGCTCACTCAAAAATAAACACACACATCCACACGAGGCGGTGACTCACGCGATATACATTTTACGCACATATTTGGATGTGTATAATGGATAATGTCTTTAGAAATGCCCTTGAGCGCATAATTTTACTACATTGTTTAAAAATATAGAATTAAATGTTGTAATTAAAGATTTACCCAAATGTTAAAGAATTGGTAAAGTTTGCACGCAGAAAACCATGACATAGTAAGAACTGCTTCATCTCAATGGTCTTGCCAATAAAAGTTCTTCTGTGTAAACTTTTTGACTGTTCATATATTCTCAACTAAAAGAGTAGACTATTTTTTCTAAACTTTCCTCACCTTTTGGACTGCGTCTCTGATGGGTTTCTGTCTCGCTGCCTCCTGTTTTTGAACCAGTTGCTGACTTGTGTCAAGGACAGTCCTGTGATCTTGGCCAGATTCCTCTTCTCGGCCGGGGACGGGTACCGGTTCTGCTTATAGAGATCCTTCAGCGCGTTCCTGGAGCGCTCTTTGAAGCAGTACACCGTCTCCTCTCCATCCCAGATGGTCCGGGGTAGGGGAAACTTTCGTCGGAGGCGATATTTATCTACTGCTCCCAGCGGTCTACCGCGGGCCTTCTCCGCCTCCGTGTACCGGGCTTTGTACCATAAGTCCTGCAGGGCAGAGTGACACGAGGGGCTGAAGCTGTGGCTCTCCAAGATGCTGTAAAGCTCCTGGTAGCGCGCCTGGTGGAAAGCCACGAGTGCCTGAGCGCGGAGGATACTCTCGTTACCGCGCAATAAGTCGCTCTGCGGGAGAGACCACAGAAAACGGGCGAGTCGGTCCACGTTGCCCCCCTGCTGAAGCGCCTCGCAAACACACGCAACCTGCTCCGGTGAGAAAGCCAAAGAGGTCGCGGTTACTGCGGGCGAACTGTGCGCAAACAAAGAGTCCATAGTTGGCATCTTGCGCGCCGGTGGAGAGGTCTGCTGGCCCACGCGCATCCCAGTGGCCACCGGACTGTCCAGAGTCAGGAGTTTGACGTGCTCCTGATTGGCCGTGGAGCTCTCGAGAAGCTCCGTGTACTTCACATTTTCCTTTTTGATGTCGCCTGGCACTGTCACTTCACTAGAGGAAACAGACATTGTTTTTGTTCTTCACCTCAGATTCCTTTAGTCCGTCACCCCGCCTCGTTTCTGCCCAAGCTGATCAGGTTACCCGTGCGCCATGCGAGTGATATCGGGTGTCTTTGTAAGTGGATAGCTTTCCCCTTTCGCTCCAGCAGCGTGACTTGTTCTCAGTCCGATAGTTTGGAGGGACGCACATGATTGGCTGCTCGGAATTTCAAAAGGGGCGGGGCGATCTTAGCTTCAAGGCGAATCCATTGAAATAAAGCTGTCAATCAGCCGTGACGCGCTGCCGCGGCTCACCTGCGCTATAGGTGAGATCTCATTCGAGGCTTTTGTCCGCTGCTGAGTGTTTACTCTGGGCTTAACAGACTCAGACTGCTTATACAACAGACACTTCAAACGACACAGACATTAACAAAACGACAAGCCCTACCCCTTAGTTCATTTTCCATGCGTTTGAAATTTGGATCTTGCTCTACTAGGTTTTTCTGGTAAAAAAAAGTTAGTTAAAGCTTTCTAAATCAGTTCTTTTAAAGTGTGTACAAATAAGTGTGTGTGTTTAGTTTGTTTGCTATAGAAAAAAGGGACCACTTGAAAAATTCTCACTTCTACCGGATTCATATATGGTTTTGAGTAAACTGTTTAATATTGGTTTTAATCTCTATATTTTTCTTTCTTTCAGAAAATGATCTGGTCAAAATAAATGTTTTTCTATTTTTTCAGTCATTGTATTTTCATGTCTTCTGAAGTTAAAACACTGGGATGTCCAAACATTTAAATAATCACGTCTGAAATCACAGCATCTTTTTTGTGTTACAATTAGTTAAGTATTTTACAGTATTAAACTAAAATGTATTAGCCTACATAGTACAAAACTACTGTAAACTGAGAATTATCAACTGGTCACCTATTGTTTCCATTGCTGTATCCAATTAGGTCCCTATTCCCAATCTGACAACACTTATGAAGCATCTATCTATCTATCTATCTATCTATCTATCTATCTATCTATCTATCTATCTATCTATCTATCTATCTATCTATCTATCTATCTATCTATCTATCTATCTATCTATCTGTCTGTCTGTCTGTCTGTCTGTCTGTCTGTCTGTCTGTCTGTCTGTCTGTCTGTCTGTCTGTCTGTCTGTCTGTCTGTCTGTCTGTCTGTCTGTCTGTCTGTCTGTCTGTCTGTCTGTCATCTTTTTGTCCGTCCGTCTGTCCGTCCGTCCATCCATCCATCTCTCTCTGTCTGTCTTTCTGTCTGTCTGTATTTCTATATATCTATCTATCATTCTGTTAATTCGTCTATCTTTCTATCGCTCTGCCTCTCAGTTTGTCCATCCTGTCTAGAATAGATGAAGTTCACAAGTGCGCAGTGTTTGTGTGGGAACGAATGTATTGCGCATGTTTGTTTCCACCAGGAGGGTTTTATATGTAACACGCGACTGGATGCCGAAGACAGCGCTGCAGAGTGCATTGATCACTATTTATTCTCTTCCCGAAGGATTCTAAAATAACAATAAAATGGATGATCAGGGATGCCCGAGGTGCAAGACGACAAAATACAGAAACCCGTCTCTGAAGCTGATGGTGAATGTGTGCGGACACACGCTGTGAGTACCTGCTGTCAGATTTCATGGCCAAAGCTTGGCAAAAATGAAACCTTTACACAACCAGAAGTGAGCCTTTATGGTGTGTGTGTGTGTGTGTGTGTGTGTGTGTGTGTGTGTGTGTGTGTGTGTGTGTGTGTGTATGTGTATGTGTGTGTGTGCTACAATTAAGTTGGCGTTTTAATCTGTAAAAGCAGTAAACGTGTTTTTCATTAACTTATTTTGTACTTAAACAACGGTAACAACGAATTAACCAGTTTTTACCCCAAATTGATGGTTTAAACATGGTATTTGAACATATTAAACATGGTTAATATATATCTGCTTCAGCTTATAGGAAGTTACCATGGTATTTTTTTGTTCTGCTTTAATAATAATGTTGTTAACATTGTAAAAATGTGCTTCAGGTTGTATAAAAGGCCTTCATTATTTTGACTTTAAATTTGACACACGAACTAGACTGGCAACAGTCAAATACCAATTCTGTCAACTGACCCATAACAGCTGTATTATAGTAATAACAATAACTAGCAACTGTATTATTTTGGTGGAAGTTGCTACTAAGGTAAAGACAGAAGAAGACCTTTCATTAACACTTTACAGTAAGGATACATTTGTTAACATTAGTTAATAAAACTGAATTAATGGTGAAAACCTTTATACAGAATTTATTAATCTTAGATGATTTTAATGCTTAACAACTCATTGCATTAAAAGTCAATTTGGGACTCAACTGTTTACATGAATGAAAACGATATTGCATTTAAGTTGTATGATAAAAATAACAATAATATATTAAATTCTGTAACAAATATAACTATTGTTTTTCCACTGTTCAGGGTTCAATGTTAAGGATTTTTTCTACTGGCCTGATTGGGAAAAGATTGTCAAGACATCATCTGTGGTGTGAATCTAGAATTTATAATATAATATTTAGATAAATATAATAATACATATTTATAATATAATAAAATAATTTAATACATGTAAAATGAGCAAAATTCAACATATTATGTAAACAAAAATAACAATATGAAAAAAGTGCAGGTATTTTATTGTAAAACAAAAGATGGCTGACTTGCCAAGCTGATGGCAAACGGCAAAACATCACTCTATTTTTATTTCGTTGTGTTGTACCCACATAAATGTCTGTTTCCAAGACGTTAGAAACATGTTTTCTTTTAGCTTCATAATTTTATGTTGCCATCTCTTTGCTTTTTCGAAACAGTTTCACAACATCCAATCAGATAAGAGCAACCAAAAAGCAATATGGGTGTTTATGGCTTCACAGAGAAGGTAGCATTTAAAGGCTTAAAAGCACAAACTCTCGATTCTAAGACGTCGAAGATGTATTTGCACGCAATTGAGAAATAGTTGCAGGCAAATAAACTTTAGTGACAAGGCAGCACAGTAACCATCCTGTCTACTGTCCTGAGCATCTCTCACGCTGGCCCTGAGCCATTGGGCAGTTCTTCATGTTGAGCCCTGCTGTTACAGTTTTTCTCAGTAGCTTTGGTCCGTTACTCACAACACCAGTGCATTTCTGCACAACAGTTAATGCATTTTTCAAAAAAATTAGTACAAACTGCAAAACCTAGCTGATAACATGCAAAAGCGCGTCACATTCTCAAAATGGATAGTTAATTCCTCAAAAGCAAGTATTCATGTCAATCAAAGTATCAGTGTCATCAAAATGAAAAGTTCTGACACCATTGTTTATGAACAAGATAGTCAAATGGCTTTGTCTTGTTTTCATTATGAAAGTTCACTCTGTACATTTTTTCAATGCAAAAAAAGTCAGATTTTGTTGACACTTCCTGAAAATGCTCAAGACAGCACTATATACTATTTGCACAGCCATTTGAAAACTACAGTAAAGTTAGACATCACTGCATTTAGTGAGTTATCTGAGTACAAGACACTGAATATGTATATTCACTATTTTACTGCATTTGCTCGTTGCAATTCTAATTTATTCACAGCATTGTGCAAAAGAATAAACACATCCTTATTTACAACAAACAGAAACTTACTTTTAGTAGAGCTGTGCACAACTGTAAACAATATTGCAGTACATATTGGAACTAAACCTACAACATACACAGGTCTGTAAATCATTTAAGAAATTGTTCAATTTTTAAGAAATTTTTTAGGAAAAGAAAGATTTTATTTTTTTAGTAAAATTTTCATGACAGATTTTGACAACTAGTTCAACATTTTTGTATGTAATGACTATGAGGAATGAAATGAGGACTATTAGTTTTTAGGGATGTAACGGTATCAGAACTTCACGGTACGGTAATACCTCGGTATGAATGTCACGGTACGGTATTTATTGAATCATTTACAGGAAAAAACAAAACTTATGAAAATACTCCAAAAAAGTGTCAATGACATACAAATGAGCCATCTATCTGTAAGCTTTGAAACACTTACTTCAATTTTAATAACAAAAAAATATTAAACCATGTAAAAAAAATAAAGTTTCAATTTAGTATTGTTGAAAACTCATCACATTCAACATTTAATCACTCACTCACTCACTTAGAGATGGGTTTTAAGGAAAATTATCATATAAATATAATCTGGTAAAAGCTGGTATCTCTGGGCATTTACAATGTCCCCTGCAACAGAAAAAAACCCTGTCATTTGGGACTGAGGTTTCTGGGACAGAGAGGTATGACTTGGCCCAGGTTGACAGCAGTGGGTAACGTTGTGCATTGTCTTTCCCCACTTGAGAGGACAAGCCATGAGTGAGATAGAGGTCTCATGTCTGCATCAATCTGAACAGTGTGCTGTGTTTCTGCAGTCCCCATGACTGTTATTAGTCGTATTCCCCAACTTGCAGGCACGTGCACACATAGGGCTCAACCTGTGCAGTGCACATGCCCTTTTTAGTCTTGGATAGAAAGTGCCCTTCCAAAATGATCAAAAGTGCCCCCGCGACGCGACATACCCTCCGTCCCGCCCTTCAGTAGGCGCGCGACAACACCACTCTTGAGTATGCGCGCTCAACCCCCCTCCCCGCTTTACAGTACGCGCGCGACAACACAGCTGATCAGAACGCGTGCGACAACACCGCTATTCAGTACGCGCGCGGCGACAACACCCCGCTTTAGGTTCGAACATTTCCAGCTCTTTTTCATCCCCGCTTCTAGCAGCACACTCCATTTCCGCATTACTTGATCTGTAGCGACAACAGACTGCAAGGTATGATGGCCAAGCCTGGGCTGATGGGAATTGTAGTTTCCGCTACCTCCCGTTCGCTTCATTCGCCTGAGCAAATTTTCTCAGAAGACCTATAGTTTTACTGAGTCATGCGATTACGGTAATATCGAAAAAAAATAATATTGCGGTATGACGGTATTTACAATACCGTTACATCCCTATTAGTTTTATATGGGATGACTATTCAGCATTTACAAGTTTCGTTAATTTTGACTGACGTGACATAAGCAAATGATAATGTTATAAATAGCAGAGAATCGTATAAAAGCAATTGATGCATGTCCAAAAGTA